AAAGACTCCAATACCCTGGCCTGAACATCTGTAAATGAAATTTCCATTTACTCTGTTGGAGAAGACTCTTTACAGAGGAGGATTTTTGAGGGGTGGGGAGAGTGCTGTGTAATCTGGAGTTGTTGTTTGTTTTGTTTTTAATCTATAAAGCTTGGGTTACTCCATACACATTCACGCAAAGATGGCAAATAAGCTCTGGGGAATCTGAGTCTGGAGGTCCGGGAATCCAGGCTGAAGTTCTACATTTAGGAACCATCAAGGTACAGATCACATTATGAGGCTAGTTATCATATCCTACATAATTTTAAGAGGTGCCACTTTCTTTTCATTCCTCAGAACATTATTCGTATTGAATACTTTGAATACTGTGAGGACTAGGACATTGGAATGATGAAAGACAGTCACCCTGTATGAGAGTGGGTGACACAACTCAGGCATTAATGGTAGGAAAGAAGGGGAGAGGTCTGCAGACTGGACCCTGGGAAGCCTAACATTGGATCTTAGGGAGCAGAAGGGACCAGCAAGGGAGGCTCAAAAAAGGAGGCCAGCTACGCAGGCGGGACGTGTCTAGAGAGTCAGGGAAAGAAGTTCTGTCAAGGAGCATAGAATAAGCTCTTGTGTGGACCTCTGCAGTGAAGAGGGATGAAGAAATTGAGAGGTAGCTGCAGAGGGAACGAGGTCAAAGCTGTGTTTGTGGTGCACAGTTTCAACTTTTAAGACGGAAGAAGTAGCAGTATGTTTGTGGAACTGGTAGGAACACTCCAGTAGAGAGAGGAGAAAATCAGATGGGCAGGAGGAGACTCAAATTGTCAGAGTGATGGTCTTGCTTGTGGGACAGATGAAGTGCTGAACCCATCGCACAGACATGCTGGTAAATGTTGGATTAGAAAGCGGGGTGTTCATCCACAGGGATGCACAGTAGGGTCAATCCTGGCAGGTGGACAGGTGGTTCTGGGGAGCCCATGAGATTTCTCTTTTGGCTGTGACTATTTTCTCAGTGAAATAGAGAACAAGGTTCCTGAGAGTGAGGCTGGGGGAGGAAGGAGAAGCAGGAAGTGAGTGGAGACAGAAAGAGGTAGTTAATTGTCATCTCGGAGCGTGGAAAAGGGACTGGGCTACCGGCACCATTCCTCCATAGCACTGGAATTACAAATAAAAATCTCTGTCAAGAAAGTGTCAAAGAAGGCATGGAAGGAAGGAAGGAAGGAAAGGAAGGAAGGAAGGAAGGAAGGAAGGAAGCAAGGAAGGAAGGAAAGAAGGAAGGAGGGAAGGGAGGGAGAAGAAGGAAGGAAGGAAGGAGGAAGGAAGGAAGGGAGAAGAAGGAAGGAAGGAGAAGGAAGGAGGAAGGAAGGACGGACAGACTGGAAGACTTAAAAGCAAAGCTAGATGATTGAGGACATTTGTGACCCATTGATCAGGAAAGTCTTAGCACCCTGATTTTCAGTGTCTGCACTCGAAGACAGTAAAAGTGCTCCAGCTGCCAAATACTGTAGTCCCCTTGAGCTGTTCCAATCAACTGGAATATGTTTAATTATAGTTCACTTATGTTTCCATAAGGAGGGAAATTCAAGAATTTTCTTTATCTCATATCAAACTCAGAAAGTTATTCTTTTTACCAAAAGGGACACAAAATAATTGCCCACCACCGAGTGTGAACATGAGGGAAATCTGATATAACATCGTGACGCTGCCTCTGTCATTGAGATTTGAATATGTAAAAGAAAACCATTTCCAGGGTAAGGAGTAATTAGCAGCAGATATTTTGCAGGATGTTTTGGGAGGAACAACTCTTAGGGCACATTAATAAGTAATCAAAGTTAAAAGGAACTTGGATTAACTCTAGGTGGTGACTGAGAATATCTGCAAACACTTCTTTGAACCCTGCTGATGGGGGAGAACAATCCGGGTGCAGTCAGCTTGGTCCAAAGGAGCACAGGGGAAGGACAGAAGTCAGTGGAATCTGAGCCCCCAGCTCAACTACCAGGATCACCGTCAAGACGATGGCTGCCATCATAGCGAGGCTTACGGCTACTTAAGCACTTACTAAAAGTCAAGCACTAACATAATATTGTACATGTATTAACTATTTAAGGAAAAAGAGACCATAAACTTCACGAGGAGAGAGACTAAACCTCATTCAGCTTCATAATCGAAGGCATCAAGTACAGGACTTGACATAGAGTAAGCACTCAATAAATGCTGTTGAACTCAACGGAAGAATAATCCAGGCTAGATTAAAGCTTGATTTATGCTGCCCAAGGGCTTTCACTGGTTCTTTAGTAAGGAAGAGCAGAATACTGGTGTTAGAATCTTAATACATGCTAGGTCTTCCGGGAAGACAAGCCCATTCCCTCTCCGAAAAGCATGGCCAGATGGGTCCCATGCTTGATTTCTTAAACTTGCAGCAATTCAGACTCCTCTGTTTTCATTCTTAAATGCCTCCTCAGTCATTTCCCCAAATGTCGACTTGTCCCAAGAGAGCTATATTGTCCCAGGCTCTACTCTCTGTTACATGGAAGACCCAGTGTGCATATGTGGGGGGTGCTTGGTAATATTCGGGGCATCAAATAGGGTACTTAGAAGGCATTGCCTCAGTGGTGGAGAAAAATTGACCCTGGAATAAAGCTGTTGTGGTTTAGCTTGAGAACTCTTTTTTTTTTTTCCCCATGTAACTGCTCTTTTTTTTTTTTAATTTTTTATTCTTATGTTAATCCCCATACATTACATCATTAGTTTTAGATGAAGTGTTCCATGATTCATTGTTTGTGCACAACACCCAGTGCTCCATGCAGAATGTGCCCTCCTCAATACCCACCACAGGGCTAACCCATCCTCCCACCCCCCTCCCCTCTAGAACCCTGTTTGTTTTTCAGAGTCCATCGTCTCTCATGGTTCGTCTACCCCTCCGATTTCCCCCGCTTCATTCTTCCCCTCCCGCTACCTTCTTCTTCTTCTTCTTCTTCTTTTTTTTTTTCTTAACAGAGAACTCTTTTTAAATTTTTGTTTACATTCCAGTTACTTAATATATAGTGTAATATTGGTTTCAGGAGTAGAATTTAGTGATTCATCAGTCCATACAATACCCAGTGCTCATCACAACTAATGCACTCCTTAATGCCCATCCCGCATCTTTCCCATCTTCTACCCACCTCCTTCCATCCACCCTCAGTTTGTTCTCTATAGTTAAGAGTGTCTTATGGTTTGCTTCCCTCTCTAGGTATTTATGTAAAGGATACAAAATTACAGATTCAAAGGGATACATGCACCCCGATATTTATAGCAGCATTAAATAATAGCCAAACTATGGAAAGAGCCCAAGTGTCCCATCGACTGATGAATGGATAATGAAGAGGTGTTGTATATATATGCAATGGAATATTACTCAAAAAGAATGAAATCTTGCCATTTGCAACACCATGGCTAGAGCTAGAGAGTATTATGCTAAACAAAATAAGTCATTCGGAGAAAGACAAATACCAAATGATTTCACTCATATGTGGAATTTAAGAAGCAAAACAGATGAACATAGCCTGAGAACTCTTAAAAAAGAACTTGAAAAACCAAAGTTGCCATATAACTGCATTCCATAACAGAGCTCAAAAATATTTAAAGGAATACAAAAACTGTCTAGCATCAACAAAATAAAATTCACCATGTCTAGTATCCAAAAAAATTAACAGGCATGCAAAGGGAGAGAAAAATACTTAATAATGAGGAAATCAAAAAATGACACAGATCCACCTCATGCCTGTTAGAATGCCTATCATTAAAAAAAGAACCCATACAAACAAACAACCCCCCCAAAAAACAAGAAATAACAGGTGTTGGTGGGGATGCAGAGAAAGGGGAACCCTCTTGGTCTGTTGGTGGAAACGCAAGCTGGTGCAGCCACTCTGGAAAACAGTATGGAGGGTCCTGAAAAAGTTAAAAATAGAGCTACCGTATGACCCAGCAAGTGCACTTCCGAGTATATACCTAAAGGAGACAAAACGTTATGTCTGAGAGAGAGCTGTACCCCTCACGTTCATAGCAGCGTGATTTACAGCAGTCAGGACAGAGGAACAACGTAAGTGCTACTAATGTATGAATGGATAAACAGACCCCCCCAAACACACACACACACACACACACACAATGGGCTATTACTCAGCCATAAAAAAGAAGGAAATCTGCCATTTGTGACAACATGGATGGGCCTTGGGGGCATTATGCTGAGTGAAATAAGTCAGACAGAGAAAGACTAGTGTGATTTCACTTATATGTGGAATCTTAAAAAAAAAAAAAAAAGCCTCATGGAAAAAAGAGGTTAGATTTGTAGCTACCAGAGGTGGGAGTGGGGAGAAGGAGGATTGGAGGAAGGTGGTCAGAAGGTACAAACTTTCAGTTATAAGATCATTGAATACTGGGGACATAATGCTCTGCACGATGATTCTAGCTCACACAGCCCACATGGTACATTTGAAAGTTGTTGTGAGAGTAGATTGTGAGAGTTCTCATCACAAAGAAAATGGTTTTCTCTCTCTCTCTCTCTCTCTCTTTTTTTTTTGTATCTATGTGAGATTATGGGTGTTAAGTAAACTTATTGTGGTGATCACTTTACTCTAGATGTAAGTTAAGTCATTACGCTATACAACTTAAATTTACTCAGTGCTGGATGTCAATTTTAAAAAGGGCCAAAACATTCATGAATTTGAAGGCATAGCAATAGATATGATTCAGAGAAGCAAAAATACTTGAGAGAAAGAAAGAGAGAGAAAGAGGAAGGGAGGGAGGGAGAAAGGAAGGCAGAAGGAAAGAAGGGAGGGAGGGAGGAAGGAGGAAAGGAGGAAGGAAGGAGGAAGGAAGGAAGGAGGAAGGAAGGGAGGAAGGGAAGAGGAAGGAAGGAAGGGAGGAGGAAGGAAGGAAGAAAGGAGGAAGGGAGGAAGGGAGGGAGGAGAGTGCGTCAGGGAGCTGCAGAGCAACCTCAGTCTGACGTACATAGAGAGGAAGGCCAAGAAAAATACTTGAAGAAATAGTAGGGGAACATGTTATAAGTCTGATTCACCACAGAACCTCACAGATCCAAGGAGAGCAACGAAACTCAAGCACAAGAAAATGAAACACATGTTAGACAGATTCCTCTCAGCCAGGGCTAAAGAGAAAATCTTGAAAGCAGCACGGGGAAGAAGACGCTTTGGAGAGCCTCTGGGGGACGAGACATAGGAGGGCTTTGCCCACAGAGCACGGGGGGCTGGCCAGGCCATGCGTCACGTGCCCAAAACCCGCGTGGCAGCTGGACAGTGCCCACCGGTAGCCAGAGCAGCAACGTGCTGAAAGGGGAAGAAACAGAAAACCCCACCACCCAAAATTCTTTACCCGGTGACCATATCTTAAAAAAACAAAACTGAAGGTAAAATGAAGACTGTTTCAGACGTCCAAAGGGGAAAGCATCTGTCACTAGCGGCCTTGCACTAGGAGAACTGTTAAGGGCGGAACTCGCAGCAGAAGGAGGATGACAGCAGATGGGAATCCGGATCCTTGCAAGAAAGAGATGGGCACCAGAAAGAGCAGGTGTGTGAGTTATAACTGCTCTCCCATGGTGGGCGTAGCTCCCTTCTGGTACCACATCTGCAGTCATGGCAGGGAAGCGTAGGTCCCGATGCTAGGCCTGGACATAAACACGCCCGTGACACGTGGTACCAGAAGTTTCTGAGCAGTGGGAGAGGACCAAGGTTTTAAAATGTATGTGCCACAGCTGGCCTGGGAGTATGTTTTCCACCCGTCAGATGTATAAAATATAAGTGGAGGGTTCTGTTCCCTTCGACAAGTGCTCAAATGGAAATTTTCTACATTTAGTCCTATAACTGATGTAGCCATGTTTATAGTTACAAATGTAACATATTTTTATATGTGCAATTTCTGAGAAAGAATTTTATCATAATGGTGTTTGTAGGGCACCAACCTGTAGCAATTCTATGAATATCTAATATAACCTTGTGTGGATCTGCTAATTATATACATATCCCAACATTTCAAACTGCATCAGGATATCTGACAGGGTTTTTTTTTTTTTTTTTTTTTTTCTGATGAAGTCTCGTACTTCTAGAAAAAAAGAGCCTTGCAAAAGCACCATCAATGCAGTTAAGCTGAGGAAGCAAGAGTTCTAGCAACAGAACTCCTACACATACCCACCAACAGATGATTGTATGCAGCAGAAGAGTAACTTGATTCGACGTTATGTAGTTCAGTACAACAGGGCGGCAATTTAAAGTGCTTTTGGATTACTCTTGTGCAGGCTTTAATTTCAGATTAATTTTCTAAATTATCAATAATTAAAAACAAATGACAGCCGTAGTGAGGAATAGCTGAATTATCTTTTTATTTTCTCTATCGAAAACTACATTATGAGAGCTTCATCATAGGAAGAGAAGATCCAGTGTATTCAGCCAGAAACTGTAGGAAAGAAAGAATATTCCAAAGGGTATTAGAAATTTAGTAATAAGATATTATGTTATTTTCTGGAATTTATGATACATTTGTCAGTTTTTAAAAATTGATAATTTGCTTTTATCTTATTTTCTAAGTGCACATTTATTTTTATATGCCATTTTGCATTTGTTATTTTGATTATATTTCTTAGGACTTGACTTTAATTGGATAATCTTTCAGCCCCACAAAACCTGTATCTCTACAACACAGCCCCAGTAGGCATTAAACTTTGGTGTGCTATCTCCCTGTACGTATTTTAAAATGTAGCTCTTACGTTAGACACTCTTTTTTTTTTTTTTAAAGATTTTATTGATTTATTTGACAGAGAGAGACACAGTGAGAGAGCGAGCACAAGCAGAGGGAGTGGGAGAGGGAGAAGCAGGCTTCCCGCGGAGCAGGGAGCCCGATGCGGGGCTCGATCCCAGGACCCTGGGATCATGACCTGAACCGAAGGCAGACGCTTAACCATCTGAGCCACCCAGGCGCCCCCGTTAGACACTTTTGATGGAGGTTTTATTGTCTCTCTTCCTCAGGTAATTATATTGGGGATAGTATAGTAAAATCTATCCAAAATGAAGAATTATTTGTTAGAGAAAGGAAGATGAATTAACAAGAGATCCTGGGTCTTATCAAACTGAATGGTGATTATTGGATGAACGGATCATACACAAAGAAATTTAACATTTGCATACTCGGGAGTGAAAGCAAAACTCTGTGATTCAAAGTCTATTTTTATTTTCCTGCCAGCCATGATCATGCTTTCCTCGGATAATGCAGGTGTCTTCTGGAGCTCTGGGTCCTTTGGAAAGGTAGGTTTTCTCCAACCGTCCTTCCCTCCCGTACCTACGATTTCTCTGCCTCGAGAGATTTATCCTTATGCCAATAGTCTCCATTTATCTCTGATCACTCAGGTAAATCCTGCCTCTCTCCACATTTCCACAAAATGTTCATTCATCCTGTAACTTTAATGAACCACCTTGGGAGAAGCTGGGACATTGACCAGCTGTAATTCTAGTCCCATCTTTCACCTGAGTATAGATAAATGGAACTTTTTTGACAGGTTCCAGATAGAAACATAGCTCCATGAAAAACTGATGAACCCGATGGTCCCAATGTCTTAGTGTGAAAGATTACTTTTGTCCATTATACCGGACATGGTGGGAGGAAATTTGCTTCTGTTTCGCCCAGGGACATTGCTCTGGAATTACAAGTTCTCAGATGCCCATCCTTGAGCCACCAGGGACGTAGCCCCAGATGCTCATAAAAGATTCTCTTATCTATTCCTAAGCTTGTACAAGTCTTCACTGTGTTGATTTCCTGGTTAAGTCAGTAACTTATCAGGTAAGTAAAATGATCTACCACCAGATAATGAATGGAAGCAGAATTTACCATCCCTTTAAGTTAGTGAAGGTCGAACAGAAGCAGGGCCTGGTTGGCTTATTCCACAGTTCAGAGGAATGGAAGGTTTTCTTCCTTCTCTGGGGTCCAGAGGAGAAGCAGTGCTTTGGAAAGATGACTGGGTGGGAGATTATAAATTTCCTGCTGAGCTTTGAAGTTCGATCTCCTTTAAAAAAAGCTTAAATTTGTTGGTGATACTTTTCCACCTTCCAGAAACCTATAATAGATACTCTAAGATGATCACTTTGATCTAGTCTTTCTGTGTGTAGAAATGTTATGTGCGGAGACGCTTGTGATTGACATCACATAGGAAAGGGGTATAATAGGACTTGTCTGGGGATTGCTACTCCCTTCAAAGTTAGGACAGGCCTAGGCCCCTCAAGTCATGAAATGTTTGCTATTTCTGAGCCAAACTAATACTTTACTGAGTGCCATTTCTAATCTGAAACACTTTTTTTTTTTTATTTGTCTCAGAGGTAGAATTTTGTGATTCATTAGTTGCATGTAACACCCAGTGCTCATTACATCTACTTATTTTTTTAGGGAGACAGAGAACTTAAGTGGGAGGGGCCGAGGGAGAGAGGGAGAGCATCCGAAACAGACTCCGCACTGAGCGCAGAGCCCAAAAAGGGGCTCGAACTCGTGACCCTGAGATCATGACCTGAGCCAAAAGCAAGTCAGAGGCGTAACCAACTGCACCCCCCAGGCACCCCTTGAACACGTTCTGATGAGCCGGTTACAAAGCCCAAAGGAGACACATCTTGTGTGACGGGTAGGTTCGTGCCTGCATTTCCCAGGAACACACAGGTACAGAAGAGAATACTTATCATCACTTCTTCTACCAGATACGAGTTCTGAGGCTGCTACTCAATACTCTTAACCCTGTGTTGTTTGAAAGGAACACCTTGGTCTGTTTGGACATTCATTTGTAGTTAAAGAGACGACATTTGTATTTCATTTATTTGGAGCTAGGGATTTCTGTAGGTGGCATACAACTGCATAGATGTGTCTGTTCATTATTTATGTAAGTGAATCATTTCTCCTGCTGCCCATTGCTAACTGAACGTAATTTGGAGAATGAAGCAACCTTTGGGCAGGTTAAAATAGAACCAGAAAACAGTTCTCTTGTGGTTCACACGGACTTCTTGCTCGTCTCTTAGTGGGTCTGTTTATTTAGGATGACTGTGAACCAACATCGGATAATGTTTACTATGTACTCCACCCTCTCGCTGCTCCCATCCCAGCCTACATAGACTGAATGGCTATTGGAGAATTTGACACCGGGAGAACTACTACTTTCCAACTATGATGTGTACAGGGGATTTTTAAAAATGGAGAAAAGTCTAGTTTATGCAAAAATTGCTTCACCATCTGCTTGCCCTTGTGCCCGAAATTACTGCAATGGGTATTACATAAATGGTAAGACTTTGTGTATTTATTTCTAAGCAAAATATCCATCACTGACCCAACAGTTTATCCATTTAGCCAGCAGAAACCAGAATGATTCCATACTTTTATACCTAGTGTCTTAACTCAGTATAAAGAAGGAGTTTAGAACAGGTGCTTTGCTTTTAAAAGGTCGTGATTTAATCTACAGACCTAACCTTGTATACACTTGTGCTTTCTCATATGATGAAATCCCTTTCTATCAGTTCCTCCTGACTTTGGCTTTGATTACTCAACTCCATGTGACTTTGGATCTTGCCTTGACTCATTTTTGTCTAAATATCAGTAATTTCCTCTGTCCCAAAAGTCAATTCTCCAAGAACATTTTAACTTGTTTTCTGGCCTTGATTTTGATGATTTGGCTCTCTTTTCTATAATATCAGAGATTAAAAAAAAACAAAAAAACAAAAAACTGTAGCTAGGACAGCTTCCTCCTCTGACACCTGGAGTTTTGCAAGTTTATGGATGCAATGAGAAATGGAGAGAGAGATTTTAATTCAGAAGACGTCAGGGGGAAATGAATGGCTTGGAGAACACTAGTGGTATGTCAACAGAGAAAGATTGTTCATCCTTGGGAGAAGGTAGGAATCCAGAATACATTTTGTCAGTTTGGTTATTGCCAGGTAGAGACCTAGCCCTAAGTGGGTACTGACCCTGTGGAGTCCAGACTCCCCCATGTGCTAAGCCCAGGCTTGGAGGATTTCTACAGGGTTTGCCAGATGTTTCCAAGTAGGTGATTCCTACCAGTAAATATCGCAACTCTGCCCCAACTGCTTGTAAGGGAGTCACCCACAGTGTTTGTCTCTTTTTAATTTGCTTGGAGACCCTAACCTCCCTAAAGCAGTCCCCCTCACTGGTGGTCTCTGGGCTTTGGGAGCCTCTGAGCGTCTCCACAGTCTGCATAGTTTTGAAGCAAGAATAAGAGCCTTCCTTGCTCCTTCCTCTCAGCCCAAGTGTCTTCCCTTTTGTGAGAATCTTGACCTGTTGTTGGGTATAGATCAGGACTTCCTCCTCTTTGTCAAGGTTCGTATGTGTCTCTAGCCACATCGTAGTTATTCCTTGCTTACCTGTGTGCCCCAGGTCTACCACACCATCGGAAATGAGTGCTGTATTCATTTCCAAAGCCTTCCTGACCCAGGGCCTGGTGAATAATAGGTCCTTAAGAATACTTATCGAGTGAATTGACTCTAACAATCTTTTGGACTTGCGTAACATGTTTTCCAAAGCTTCTAAGGTAAACGTTTAACTTATTTAATAATATTGCTATTCTTTAGAAGTGGCGTATGTATAAGAATGTGGAAGTCTCTGAAATTGGTCTCAAAAAACATTTTATTTCCTGTTTCCTGTTTGTGATTTGGTTTCGCAGTGTCATTTCTTTGTTGTTCCTTTTCATTGCAGAAAAAGCTAGGAAAAAGAGGCTCCTAGAATCACATCTTTATCTTTTGGAATTATTCAATGGAATATTCTGGAAAAAAGCCTTATGGCTACATTATACTTTTTCAGCTATAATCATACTTACTCAATCTGTGGTAGTTATATATAAAAAAAAAATGATTGGCACAGATAAGAGCATTTCCTATCTACTTCCACAACTGAATTTCCTGATTTTTATCTGACAAGATGTGTTATGTTGACAAGGTTTAGAATAAAACCTGTTATCCATTGCTCACTTTTCCCAGTACATTCCTCTTGTGGTACATAAGTCTTCTTGCTCTGGGTTTCTTCACACTTGAACTTGGAGAGTGCAGTGGATGTCTGAAGTCTAGTTATACTACCAGAGATTGACTAAACAAAATAAGGGTCCTGAGCAGCTGCCTGAACTTGCACTCTTTCCAAGGGCAAATTCTTCTAAGTTATTGTATTGATTTAATTTGCATTCAAATTGCTCAGAATTTTGGCGGTGTGTTTTCACTTGAATGATTTGCTATCAAGTGGAGAATGAATACATGACATGTACAGGCTCAAGTGTGGAGCTGAATTTTAAAATATTTACTGATTTTAATAGAACCATATTAATACCATAACAAAGGATAAACTATTGCAGCAAACGGTGGGTTAGCATTATTTCTTAAAGAAATCCTAGAAGGAGGCATTGACTGTGAATTATCTTAATGAATTTGGTTTTACTTAGCATAAACATGCATGTTACAGTTTTGTTAATTTTATGTTGTTGAGTTTAAATTATTAATTTTTCATTGTACTGAAATTATAATTTAAATCCGTAGTTCCTTTTGATGCCTATTAACCACAGGATGCAATAACTATCATTTAAATGTTCATTTTATAATCTGTGATGTATATTTAATGTGTGATATGTTTATTATTCTAACCATCTGACTGCTTAAAATACAAATAGAAAAAAACCTTTCACTGCGTGTTTTGGCATTCTTGTCAGTAGTTAAACCTGCCTTGGGGCCTACTGAAAATTTTAATAGTCAGTAATATTTGCACTGTCATCTGTCACCACATGGTGTCAAATCCTGTCCATGTAGCGATTGCTCTTGGCTTTTCTGGGTTAAGAGAATACTAGTGTTTCCTAGAGCAAATAAATACACTGAGACTGCATGTAGATCCCGTTGGACTGTATTCAGGCTAAGGTGAACTTTGTCTATAGTGATATATGTGTCTATAAGTGAAATGGAAAATGGGTTTGTCTTTTCAGGAACTTACTCCTTTTTGCTAGTGTTGAGGCAATATACTGGAGAAGAAAAATGTCTCTATTTTATGGGGTGGCAGATGGCATTTAACAGGTGCTCAAATATTTTATAAATAAATAAAAGGAGGAAACATGAATAAATGAAGTCAGCAGAGACACACAGTGGAAATACACCGGGCTCCTGACCCCACGGTAGAGAGATGGAAATTAAACTCTTCTTGTTTCTTCTTCAAGGTAAAAGACAAGAAATGAGCACATTAAGTTGTTAACAGTTAAAAGGAATAAATAAAATCACAACAGTAAGTATTGTGTATTTGGAACCTACAGTGTACCTAGAATTACATATTTAATCCTCAAAGACCTCTTGGTAGAAGCTACTGATGTTGCCATTTTGATGAATTTGGGAAGGCTTTGGTGATTTTTCTCTATGCTGCATTTTAATTAAGCCCGGAATCACAAACAAGTCTGTCATATAGCCCCACTCGTAGAACATTTGCTTCCTCCTTCATATAACACTTGAGCCAATATTTATGATTTAATTGGTTAGTTATAACTAACATACTCCTAAGAGAATGCTGCTTTTGAGTTGCTCCATTTCCTGATTCCTTTGACTGACTACTTCAGAATTGGAGGTAAATATGAACCATATATCTGCTCTGACATTGCTGGGGGAAAATGGACTAAGCAGTTACTGAGGGAAACCATGGCACATCAGAGAAGTGTCAAGAAATGACGATGCAGAGTGCATGGGGGGACATTGTGGGCATCAGGGCTTACAGAATCATAAGCATTGAATTATAACTTGGTAACTTGGCAGAGCGTTTTGCATCCTAGATGTTTGTACATTGAACTCAGTCTTTCTAGAATTAAAAACAAAACAAAACAAACAAAAACAAACCAAAAAGCCTTAAGGAATGCAAGGTTAATTTTGTTATTTTATGAATTCGTTAAAATTCTCAGACCTATAACATAAATTCTATTCCTGAAATAGTTCTCAAATCATTAAGCAACTTGGCTTAGTTGGAAAAATATCTTCCTTTTCTAATGAGTATCTATACAATAAGAAGATAATTACAAACATTGGATAAAGTCCATTAAACTTAAAGAAGCCTTGTGGAGAGCTGGGAGCCACTGAAAGAGACTCTAGAAAGGCATGAGAGTGACCACAGGATGTGGGGGCATATGGTGGGCTGTGGCGTTACTGAAAGTCCTGGGTGGGTTATGGATTTTTCTGGGAGGTAACAAACTATGTTTAGGTGTGATTACAGATTATTGAACTTTGTCCATGTGACTAGTTTAATTTTTACAAAATATTGTTCTCAAAATATCACATAGAAGATGTGACTTGTGTATCCAGAGATTTTATTTGCTTTTTGTTTGCAGGAGTAATATATGTCAAGAACGAAGCGACTCAGATGATGGAAGGGTGGAGCAGGGATTGAAGATTCAGGATGAATTAAAGAGGTTAGTCAAGAACCTTCTCTGTTGGGAAAAGTGAGTTTTTACTGTAAATCGTCTCCATCTCCTTAATACAAGACACCTTTCATTACTTCCTAGCTAGACTAATTGTTTTCCAAGCTGAAGTGATTTTCTGAGACACCTCTGATCAAGAAATCCTTTGTTCAAGAAGCTTCAATGGTTTCCATTGTATATTGAACAAAGGTACGGAGGAGGAAATAGATTTATTGAATTTCTAGACACTTAATGTAATCTCATTTAACCTTAAGCAAAACTCTATGAAGTAGGTTAGATTGTATAGAGGAGAAAAGAAAAAAAAAAAAAAAAAAGGAAAGCACGCTGCCAGGAACCTCTGGGAAGGAGATACTCATGTATCTTGCTCATGTCTCCAGGATCCACTAATGTCTGGGAGACTTTCCAGACATTATCTGTTGAATGAATGAATTTTACAGGACTGCTTTTATACTCTTTACATTGGTCTATACTCTGTTTTGTGAATTTCATATCCCCATGTAACAGTCATTTACTTACTAGACCTACTATGTACATGTCGTACATTATATAAGCAAGATTGGGAAAATATTTGGCTGTTTTTTCCTAATGGACTTCTGAGGTCTAGCTCCACTAATACCTTACTGAAATTATACAGATGGAATTTTCTTCACCAATCTTTGATTTAGGTCCAAGAGTTTCAAGCCGTGTTTCCTGCACCATGTATGATTTCCTGTTTTGACTTAAAGGCATGTGTGAGGCAATCGGAATTCAGAATCCCTCCAGGTTTTATAGTTTTCCCTGTTCTTTAACAGTTGTTTTGCCTATAAATAATCCCATGATGATTATTGTAGCAATTCACACTTATTGAATCTTGACAAAATATTCAACTTAATTCATAAAGCAATAGCTACCTTTCTTTTTATACTCATTATAAGAATACACAAACACAAATTGGTATAAAAGGTTGTGCATATGGGGAAAAGAAAACACAGCTGACATGGGGTGAGCATACAAACGCACGCCTCACCTCTCCTTCTGCCTGTGGTGACTTTGTTGAGCTAGGACTAGGGCAGGCTCTGTGGTGACCCGGTCTTGATTTACCCCACACAGGGAACACCTCTACTTTCCAGACACCTTCATCACTGATGGAGTAGTAGTAAGGAATATTGCAATGGCCTCTGTACTGGTAGTAAGTAGTAAGGAAAGTGGTAGTAAGGATACTCTTTTAGTATAAAGAGTGAATTTAAAAATTGTGCTTTTTAAAATCGTGTAAGTAAAACGAATTATTGAGGAAAAGTTGAAATTTCTCTGCAGAATTTACACCGCATCTCTAGTACCCAAATCTAATACAACCAGTTGTTTTCCTACCAGAGTTTGGGATTTTCCAGCAAGCAGATATGGGCACTGAGGAATGCAAACAGTGTTCTGGGTCAAGCAACGCATCTTGACCCAGATTCACTTCTGAACAGGAAAGAATGTGAAATGAGTAACAAACAGTAATGTCTAGACACATGGGAACAGATTTTAGGGTTCTGATAAAACCCGGTTTGGGGCGCCTGGGTGGCTCAGTCGTTAAGCGTCTGCCTTCGGCTCAGGTCATGATCCCGGGGTCCTGGGATCAAGCCCCCCATCAGGCTCCTGCTCTGCGGGAAGCCTGCTTCTCCCTCTCCCACTGCCCCTGCTTGTGTTCCTTCTCTCACTGTTGTCTCTGTCAAATAAATAAATAAAATCTTTAAAAAACAAAATAACAAAAAAACCCCTCGGTTTTAGATATACTTAATCAAGTATGACAATGATGGCAGTAATTATTATAATAATTGAGAGGCAGAATGGTGTATGGGTAAGAATAATAACTGAGAAATTAGAAGACTGAAATTTCTGTTGCAGACCTGTGGCTCTGTGACGGGCATGTAGCCCAGACCTCTGATAAGCCTCTGTGCGTGTATTTGCATACTGAGAGGGAACGACTAGGCTCCTCTTAGTTGTACCACTGTGATTCTATGGGATCCATGGCAAACTCTATGCCCACTCTTGCAAGAAGCATACCTAACAACCTTTAGTAGTAAAAGCTTTTTTCTTTTTACAAAGACCACATTCCCTTCTTTCTTGGTTTTATATATTACCTCACCCTTATGCATTAATTAAAAAGAGAGATAGGAAATATGCTAGACACTTTCCTTCCCTTCATGAACATAATATATGCTCTACAGTAAGGAAGTTATGTGAAGACACACACACAAAAGCCAGATAAGGTAAGTATGAGGAGTGTTTGATAGATAGTCCTGATTCTAGAGCACTCAGAATTTAAACACAAGCTGCCTGGCTTTATGCGAGGGGGTCAGAGAATGTGTGTATGAAGGTTTTAAGATCTGCTCAGAGGCTTGGAAGACAGGAAAGGATTTAAGATCCTGGGGGTAGGGGTGGAGAGTGGGGGGTACACTCGAAGTGGGGAAATAGCACACTTTAGAGATCTGTTTAAGGAAACAATCCTTAAATATTTTTCTCTGGCCATATTTCCTCCCTTCATTCCTCTACCTCTCAGCCCCTTTTGTCTTTTTAAATCTCACTTTTATCTTCAAAGCAAATTTATATATAATTTTCTATTTAAAGCCTCACATAAGCCCTAGACCATGGCTTCCTGGAGTGTGTTTCCTCAAAAACTATTCCAACCCATGACAATAGGCATACCATAGAAAAAACTAATCATTCTATTGTAAGGATTAGCTGTATACATAGTGAAATCACCAAAAAATTAGGGCAGTAGAACGGTTGCAGAAAATGACACTGAATCTTGAGCTAAAGTCTTTAAGAAATGAAGGACAGTTGTCCCTAGGGTTAGTAGATGACTCAGATAAGGAGCTTTAATTTCATGATAAGGGATTCAAAGTTGGAGTTTTTGGGAAGGACGGGAGGGGACACTTGCCATACTACAGGCCCAAGGGTAGAGGAGAAGAGTGGAGGCATTCTCTGGTCATGCCAGCTTAGAACAAGGGACACCTACCCCAATCCAGGTCCAGAGGTGAGAAGGGTATGGGAGAACAAACAGTCCATTTTTGAGAGCCCTCCAGAAAGCAGGATCATCAGTAACACACTAAGTTTAATTACTACATTAAGGAGATTGAAATGTTAGAGAGAGGACTGGGTATGCAGGGGATCCTACTGATGACTGACTAGAGGGGCCGAAGAAAGGGACTCTGGATCTCGACAAGTAGAAGCTTACGGGGTGAGTAGGAAGATGTGCCGAGTTATATGGATTTGGCCATATAAGTATGAGTATTGATGGTTTGGATTTGCACACTTTTCTTAGTTAATGGGAATGGAAGCCCAGTTAGAGGGGAATGGGAAAGATTGAGAGGTGAGGAAAAGGAGACAGTGACCATGGCCTCCACCTGAAAAACAGAGAGAAGGGGCATTAGCTCAGAGGAAATGTGAGGTGTTACTGCTTTTTTTCAACTGGGAGTATGTTTATAGATGATACAAATTACCTTGAAGTAAAAGATAAATACCTTACATAGGAGAAGGAAAATGAAGTGACAAGAGAGAGGTTTTTGAGTGGATGAGAGAAGTTAGACTCCAAAGCTAAAGTGTATGGATTAGGCTTTGACTGAAGGCGGCATACTCTATTTGAGTACTTTATACAGTTTTTATTTAATTCCAAGAAAAACTGAGTAATATTGGTATAATTATGATCCTCATTTCACAGATGAGGAAATTGAGTCATGAAAAGATTAAGTAAAAATGCACCCAGTGTCACATAACCAGTAAATAGTAGAGTGAGGATTCAAATCTGGGTTGGTTTGAATCCAGATCATGACTCTTCAATATGGCAACTATCGTTTGGTTAAAGGTCACAAGGAGAATACCTATAAAAGTCAAAGCTGGGGCGCCTGGGTGGCTCAGTTGGTTAGGCGGCTGCCTTCGGCTCAGGTCATGGTCCCAGAGTCCTGGGATCGAGCCCCGCGTCGGGCTCCCTGCTCGGTGGAGAGCCTGCTTCTCCCTCTCCCTCTGCCTGCCTTTCTGCCTACTTGTGCTCTCTCTCTCTCTCTGTCAAATAAAAAAAAAAAAAAGTCAAATTCTATGCTGACAAATTTGTAAATGGCTCTGATAATGACTAGTATTATTAACATTTTTGAAAAATCTCATTTTGCCTCTAATCTATTCAGTTGTTTTATTCAACATGTTATTATACTACTAATAGAACAACTAATCAACATATAAGTACACCCATCCTGATAGAATATGGCATTCTGTGAAAGCGCAGGTTGCTTATAAAATCAGTGTAATTGATTCTCTAGAGAAGAAGCTGAACTAAGGGAAAACGAAAATTCCTAAACTGGATTAGAGACCATGCTGTGGGTTCCTCAAGAGTCCTATGGCCTTTTTCTTCTGGAAAGAGGTAGAGGGTGTACATAGAGAGAGAATGCTGTTCTTTCAACCAGTTCAAACTTAAATATGCCTTGCCTTACTACTGTAGCTACAAATATTTTCATAATTCTACAGTTTAATTACTTACAAATTCAAATGTATCTTTAGTAGTTGAAATTTGAGACCACAGGAGATTAAAAGAATGCACAATATAGACTGTAAAATGATTTTCAAAAGAAGAGCAGCAAATGACTTCAGTTACATTGGCAACTTTGGAGAACATGCATTACACAGAAGGAAACAAACAGCATGCAGTTTTATAAACTTTGATGTATTTGTTAAACCTCAGTCATCTTGTTACATGTCCGTATCTCAGAACGTGCTTTAGAACCCAATCTAGCAGCATGTGTTGATGTGTATGGTTTTGGAGAGCTGAGGCAATGTCTGTCTTTTCTATTGTTTTATTATTAGCACCTATTGTACTGCTTAATATTAGGTACCCAATATATATTTATTAAATTACAGAACAGTGCACACTTTCATTAACAAGAAATCTGTAATTTTGCAATAGTTTTAGCTTTAGGGTGATTTCTGGGAATTATGTCTCATTTCATTTTACTCTAAGGGGTCATATGTATCTACCAAATGAATAAAATCCATCTGGGAGCAACATTAAGTGTTGAGGGCAGATGTTAAAAAAACTGTGTCAGTATAATTTTCATGGGACAGGGATTCATTCATTTCAAAAACAAAATTCAAAATGAAAGAATTGGGAATTGTGTGTGTATCAGAAATATTTTTCTGTTTGATGTGCTCAGTTTCCATTTAGATGTTAGTAAAACAAATAGAATAATTCATTTTCTCATTTGTTGATCCATTCGTTCACAGAAAGATACAATCTAGGAAAACAGTGAATTAATTTCAAAATAATCAAAACAGAAACATTTTTATGATTAAAGGCACAATACAGAAGGAAGCAGAGAATTCTTGTTTCTATACCATTGCTTCTGATCACAGAGAATACAATGATAATGAAATTTAAATGAAATTTGGTATGAAGTTATATTAGAATAAGATATTTATAATACTATCAAAAATACCCCAAACTTTACACAATGTTAGAGTTTTTATTTTATTCAGGGAAATGGATATTACAAGAAACTCAAACTTATGCAATAGAACATTCAGATAAATCTTGAATTTACACAATCAAAATAATGTGAAAATCCCAAAGATGAGGAAAATACTTAACATTTAACATTCTTTTGGAAATGTTTGACTCATCCATCTGTTTCATGCTTCTAATTATGCTAAATATTTATAATTGATTTTCAAGGAATCGATTTCCTGACCAAGAGTTGACTTTTCTGAGAAACAAAAACTTTCATTGGACTTTGGAATAGTAAAGACTATGAATACAACACAAAATCAGAAGAATCAGTTACATCAAATGGCCAATATATTTTATAACATGCAGTCCAAAATTACTCAGTTTTATGTTGACAATAGAACTTCATTTTGCTAATATTATTAGCCATAAATTAATATTCTAAAAGGGGCTACCACAATAATTTTGTCATGTTAGGTAGACATAGACTTTTCTATCCTTTGTCTATTAAATATAAATTCAATGTATCATGGCTACAGAGGTCTCACTGACAGGGATACTGTTCCTAATTAATTGTCTTACTTATCTTAGATCAATTCAGGTTTGGAAATCTTTGTTATAATTTTTGAGTTATTTCTTAGTGGTTGACCTACGACTTACAATAAACATCTTCACCTATCAGAATTGACTTCACTCTTATATTCCCTTAGATCCAATTAAATATAAAAATTTTAGTCCTATATTGTTCCATTACTGCAAATCCTTTTTGTATTAATACTATTAATATGAAAATAAGCTATTAAGAATATCATTTAGAATTTAGGAATGCCTGACTGGCTCAATGTGAAGAGCATGTGACTCTTGATCTTGGGGAGGTGAGTGCAAACCCCATGTTGGGTGTAGAGATTGCCTAAAATAAATAAAATTTAAAAAGAACAGCACTTAGAATTTAAAAATAATTAAACATTGACTTGAATTAAATAGTGTTACACACTTAACAATACATTGATATAATTATTACTTTATATAATCATATCTTTTAAAGGAGTTGAGAAAATAGAGCATGTATGTACTTACAGAATTTGTTTTATTAACATCTTATTTACCATTTCTAGCTCTATTAATTCCTTCCTGTAGCTTTTACATTCCCTCTTGTGTCATTTCCTTACTCCTTTACTCTCACCTATCCCCTTTGCACTATTGTCAAATATGTTACTTTTCTATATATGATAGACCAAATAATATAATTACATATGTACTGTTTATATAATTCCTTTTTAAATGAGTCAAGAAAAGAGAAGAAATATACATTGTCTTCCATTAATTATATGTATACTCACCTTTTCTTGTACCTTTTTTTCTTTTCATATAGATTTAAGTTACTGTTCAGTGTCACTTGCTTTCAGCCTGAAGAACTTCCTATTGTTGTTTCTGGAAGTCATGTATACTAGCAATGAATTCTCTCAGCTTTTTTACATCTGGAGATGTCTTTAGCCTTTCTTTTTTAAGTTAGTTTTCCTAAAAAAAAAAAAAAAGATTTTGATTGGCATTTTTTCACTTTCAGCATTTTGAATATGTTCTCCAATTCCCTTTGGCCTCCATATCTTTCTATTCAGAAGTCAGCTGCACTCTTGTTGGGGTTCATTATACATATGAGTCATTTTTCTCTTATTACACTCAGGATCATTTTCTTCCTCTCTGGCTTTCAACCCTGTGACTATGAAGTGTCTGTAAATCTCTTTGTGTCTATCCTACCTGGAGTTCACTAAGCTTCTTGGATGTGTAGTCTGAGGTTTTCCATCCAACTTGGGAAGTTTTGAGCCAGTATTTCTTTAAAATTTTAATATATTTTTTTCTTTGTCTCTTCTCCTGATACTCCCATTACACATGGGGTGAACTTACTAGTGCATCACACTTCTCTAAGGCTCTTCTTACCTCTCTACCCTTTCTTCTTTCTGTGCTTCATATTGCATACTCTCCATTGCTCTGTCTTCAAGTTTGCTAATTCTTTCTTTTGCCAGCACCAATCTGATGCTAACCTCTCCCAGTGAGTTTATCATTTGGGTTATTATACTTCCAAATCCAGAATTTTCATTTGGCTCTTCTTTATAATTTATATATCTTTATTTATGTTCTCTGGCAAAACATTGTCATCACATCTTCCTTTAACTCTTTAAACATGGTTTCCGTTGTTTTCTTGAACATATTTACAATCACTGCTTTGAAATCTTTGTTTCTTGAACATATTTGCATTCACTGCTTTGAAATTTTTGTTTTCTAGATCTACCTGTGGACCCCTGCAAAGGTACTTTCTATTACCAAATTATTTTCTGTGTATGGATTATATTTTCCCCATTTCTTTGTATGCCTCATACACTTTTTTTTTTTTTTTTTTGGTTAAAAATTAGATAATACACTGTAGAAACACTGGATGCTGATTCCCTCTCCTCATCCTCCCATCCTTAGGAGTTGTTGTAGCTGCTGTTCGCTTGAACCTCTGTTTATTTGTTTAATGACTTGGCTAAACTAATCATGCAGTTTATTTCCACAGCAGTGTGTGGTCTCTGATATTGCAGTTCAGATTTATTTTTCTTGTTTTTAGGTTTTGATCTGGCTACCTATGTTTTGCCCGTAGGTATGCCACTTACTGGTCAAAGATTAGATTTTTACCCTTTATTTGTACGTGTGTGATTTGGAGTCTGCTGTCATGGTTCAGGGAGTTTCTATTTTTGCCTCCCATTCAGCCAGTGATTAGTAGTCTCAATGTTCCATCTTTGTTTTTTCTGGGTTTTTTGTTTTGTTTTGTGTGTGACAGGACATAGTCTTCAGGGATGAGTGTGATTTATCAGGAGTTTTGTTTAAGCTGCTTATTCCATAGAGGATTCATCCTCTGTTGATAGTCTGTGTGCAGTTTGGGGAAAGCTTTCAAGTCTGTTGTACATGCCATTTGAACTCCTTCTGAGCAGGTGCAGTCTAATGTGTACAGGGACTTCCCAACCCCCAGAGTGACTGTGATCCCAGGAGGCTCTTCTTGACTGTTTCTTTTCTTGGTTCTAATAAAAATAGGACTGTTCTGCTATTTTTCTTATATCATGGAGCTTCAGCCTTCTCTTAATTGCTTTCTACAAGATCTTCATCATTTTTGACAAGTCCCTTAAGCATGGAGTTCTCCACTCTTCCTACCAAATGAAGTCAGTCCCCTCTGGTAGAGCTTTGTAACTGTTGGTTCTTATGGTCTTTATTCCTAGGCAGGCACTCCGTGCACGGAAACTGAGGATGGGGACCTGCTACTCCTGGAGTGACATCCCTGCTTTCCAAGTAGGTAGTGAAGTGGGTGGTTGGCACATTCTGGTCTTGTTTTACCTATCCCAGAATAGAGCCTTCCTCCTGTTAGTGGGCTGGGGGTAGTGATGATCAGTGCTCAATTGTTCTCAGCTTGCTACACCTGGTGTAGAGCTTCTGCTCTATGAGTGGAGCCTGGGTGGGGGAAGGGAGAGCTTGTCCTCTTGACCACAATTTTCTGGAAAAGAAGTTTCAGCAAAAATGGACTGGTAGAGCTGTAAAGCACCACTGATAGTCTGCCCCTCCTTGGGTAAAACCATAGTGAGACTGGCAAACTGGCATGAGAAGAAACTCCAGTGTTCCTGGCCATACCTTGCTGGAGTAGAGCATCTGTGGTTGAACTTCCATAACACAAGAGTTGTGGTGGTAAATGAGCTGAGTGTAGCTCTAGTACCACAGATTCTCACTGTTCTTACTGAGAACTAATGTTTGAACTAATGTTATTCCTTTGGCTATATGCCCTTAGGACAATTCCCAGAGACTTTAATGATAGATTGTTTTATAATTTTCATTAGTTATATTGTTGTTTTGCTGGGAGAAGTTCTGCTAAATGACTCTAGTAGCAGCTGGTCCATTGTTTTTTAAATGAATTTCTTTTTACTTTTCTTGAAAGATTCTATCTATTTCAGAGAGAGGGAGTGAGTGGGGAGAGGAGCAGAGGGGGAGGACGAGGGAGCGGGAGAGAATTTTAAGCACACTCCACACTGAGTGTGGAGCCCAATGCAGGGCTCGATCTCACAACCCTGAGATCATGACCTGAGACGAAACCAAGAGTCAGACACTTAAGTGACTGAGCCACCCAAGTGCCCCTGGTCAATTTTTTTGACAAATCTTACATGCTTATTCACCGCATTAAAGATTGTCCTTCTAATAACTGGTCCTGGAGCAATTGAATATTCATGTACAAAAAAAATCTTGAACCATTAATTCACATCATCTCTAAATAATGAGGTGACATGGATCATAGCCTTAAACATAAAATATAAAACTATAAATCTCCTAGAAGAATACTTAGAAGAAAATCACTGTGGTTTGGGACTAGGCAACCCCTTTTTAGGAAAGTTCCCAAATCATGAAGCATAAAAGAAATATTGCTAAATTGTGCTTTGGCAATAGTAAAAACTCCTGTTTGAATTCTACTGTTAAGAAAATGAAATGAAAAATCACAAACTAGTAGGAGAATCTCTTCACAAAGCATAGGCCAGAATAAATAGAAAATCTTTAAACTCTATAATCAAAAGGCCAGGAACCCAACTCTAAATGGATAAAATAATGGACAGACACTTCTAAGTCTTATGTATGCTGATAAGCCAACTATAAGTTGTTCAACTTCATTAGTCATCAGAGGATTGCGAATTAAAATCATAATGAGGAGATACCACCTCACAGCAGTCAGAATGGCTAAAATTAACAACTCAGGAAACAACAGATGTTGGTGAGGAGGCAGAGAAAGGGGAACCCTCTTACACTGTTGGTGGGAATACAGCCTGGTGCAGCCACTCTGGAAAAAATATGGAGTTTCCTCAAAAAGTTGAAAATAGAGCTACCTACCCTATGACCCAGCAAATTTTTTTTTTTAATTTTTATTTAAATTCTAGTTGGTTAACATATAGTGCAATATTGGTTTCAGGAAGTGAAGTTAGTGATTCCTCACATATGACACCCAGTGCTTATCATAATAAGTGCCCTCCTTCATGCCCATCACCCATTTAGCCCATCCCCCACCCACAACGCACTTCCCTCCATCAAGCTTCATTTTTTCTCTTTAGTTAAGAGTCTCTTATGGTTTGCTTCCTTCTCTCTCTCTTTTTTACCCTTCCCATATATTCATCTGTTTTGTTTCTTAACTTCCTCATATGAGTGAGATCATATGGTATTTGTCTTTCTCTGACTGACTTATTTACAATTTCTTGTAAAGATAAACACTTACCTTTTAATCTAGCAACATCCTTCATAGATATTTACCCAGAGGGATGAAAACACCTATCTGCACAAAAACTTGCCCATGAATTTAATAGTAGCTTTATTTCTAATAAGCAAAACATGAAAATAATCTACATGTCCAGTAACAGATGAGTGGATAAACAAAATGTGGTTTAATCCATTCAGTGAAATACTACTCAGTGATACATAAATGCATGCCACAACATGAACAAACCTCAAAATCATTATCTGGAAACAAAAACAAATTGTCACAAAAACAGATTGTCACAATTATATATTGTGATTCCATTCATATGCAATTCTAAAGTGACAAAACTAATCTATGGTGATAGGAAGCATATCAGTGATTATTTATGGCTGAAGGTAGGAGATTTAACTGCAAAAAAATATGAGGGGACATTATATGGTGATAAAAATGGGTTTTGGAATGGGTTGTGTTGGTGTCTGTATTTACCAAAATTCATTAACTATATACTTAAAATGGCGGCATTTTTAATATAAAGTATACCTGAATAAGTTGATTTTTAAATCAGGTAATATGTTATAGGTATTAAAAAATCAGAGTAAGATAATTACAAACTGTTTTATTACATTGAAATTTGAAGCATACTTCACTAAATTTTTCAAATGATACTTAATAAAACAACAAAAATGTGTTTTAGCTGGAGACAGAAATGTACTTATGCAAAGCTAAGTTACACTCATAAGTAAAAATGGAATTTGAATAAAACCATTCCTCATTTGAGAGTCTCATGAGCATTTGGGGGAGAAAAGGTGAATAAATTAATAAAAACTGTGTGTTATTTGTACCATGTTTTTATAAAGAAAATGTCTAGTCTATTTGGAGTTCTATAAATTTAGTTCATGGCTCAATCGTAATTTGCACCTGTGACTTGAAGTTGTTTTCATAATGATGATAAATATCTCCAAGTTTATTATGTTTTTGATTATTATGGTGCTTTTGTTTTCATTTCAAATCTCTAAGATGCCAAATAATTTTAAATAATATTTTTCTCAGGTGTATAATTAATATGTTTTGCACACACATTTGTGGACTGCAGGAACTAAATGCAGGTTTTAACAAGAGGATTTGGTTCTTTTTGACTCTAGTTATTAAAATGAATAAACTTTGAGTAAGCCATCTATGCCCTAATGGTGATTCTTGTTCTATCCCTTTTCTTATTATAATATCCAGATGTGAAAGAAAAATAGCATTTAGATTCCTTGTCCTTTCTAGACTACTTAAAAGAAACAAATCTGATGGGCAAAATAGGTAAAGGGATTAAGAGAGAAGAAGAGGAAGGGGAGGGAGAAATCCATGTGGAAAATGATCCTTTGCTCTTTCTAGGAAGGAATAAGGGCAAGCTAATGCATAAATGTTGGAACTGAGAACACAGTTTTGAAACTGGGACACAAATGTTCAGACCATTGCAATATTATTTAGGATTGTTATTTAATATGTTAAATTATTCTTGCCCTTAGAATACATCTCTAGCCCCTCAAGCCTGAGTTAGGAGCCATCTGGTATATTATGAAACCCTGTGTATAGCCTGTTCATCACACTTCTCACATTTGATTATAATTATACTTTAAAAAGTTTATCTTTTCACTAGGCTGTGAAGGTAGGAGTAAAGTTTTACTCATCTCCCCAATTCTAGAACTACTACATGGCCTGGAACATTGAACTGATATATATATCTTCCTGAATTTCTGGGAGAAGAGCCTGTAGAATAAAGCAGTCATAATCCAGTAAGAACGTAGTTGGGTAGAGGCTGGTTAGGGGGTTTTCTATTGATGAGATTTAAGAACCAAATGCATCATCACCAAGTTCTCAACTAATGCCACTATCAGTTTTCAAGCAAAACCTTCTTTCTGCACCCTCACCGTCAATTTTATGTGACATGATCACAACAGGTATTTATGATATTTATTTTTTACTATAATAGGAAATAGCATGAATATGAGGTCTTAATTCATTTAGTAGAAGCAACATAGGGTAGTAGAATAGTTATTTTCTTTTATAATTGTAAGAGCTAGAGTTCATCAGACCAGATTATTAGAGATTATTAAAATAAAAAGATTGTCTATAAAACTGCTTTCCCATAGCCTTTGAAACATAATGTATTAATTATAAATCCCGATGTTTATACAGTGGCTCAAATTCCCAAATACCAGTTGTAACTGAAATAATAAACAAGGGCTAAGTTGGTTGAGCAACCAACTCTTGGTTTTGGCTCAGGTCATGATCTCAGGGTCATGAGATTGAGCCTCACATCAGGCTCTGCACTCAGCTGGCAGTCTGCTTGAGATTCTCTCTCTCCCTCTCCCTCTGCCCCTCCCACTCCTGCTCTCTCTCTCTGTCTCTCAAATAAATAAATAAATAAATAAATAAATAAATAAATAATAAATCTTTAAAAAAAGAAATAATAAACAGTGGTTACCATTGTTCCCATAAATATGGTGGTTGGTATTATATAATGGTTAAGAGCTTGACCACTGGAACCAGATGAGTGTAGTTGCTTATTTGAATGATAACACCTACTAGCCATGTTGTCTTAAAGAAATTACTTAGCCATTCTGAATCTCAGTCTTCTTACTATAAAATGGGATAATAATAGTTCCTGTATCTTGGGATCGTTGGTAGGGTTGGTAGGTTAAATAGCCTAATGCATTCCGTAAGTTATTTGGCACAATACCTGACAAGAAATGCTCCATACCTTTAGTGTCTATTGTTATTATTTTAAAAATATTCTAATGCATAACTAATGTAAAGGAAAGGGCATAAAATTTAAATGAAAGTTTAATAAATTATTATAAAATAAACATTAGTGTCAAGAAAGGAACCCCTGGGTCAAGAATGAGCAGTGAATGCAACCCAGGAGCTTGTGTTTGTAGCCTTCTGGTTACAACTTCCTTCCTCCCCTCTAGCTTTAACAACTCTCCAGACTTGTATAGAAAACATTTTCCACTTTGTTTCAGTTTTTCTACCCGTGTACGCATTCCTAAATAATATTTCCTGTTGTTGACCTTTA